CATGACACAAGAGGACATGGCAGCCCCGCCATTTCCTCTCTCAACCGATGCTGCAAGTTCCTGAACCACTTCCGGGTCAGCAGGCCCTCCTCTCCATCAGCCCATTATATACTGCTGGGTTTCAGAAGCATTTTGTCCAGATTATAAGATGCTCTTATAGCATTTATTTAAGAAATTGTGATTAAAAAAACCTCCAAGTCCTTGGACAAGTAAATGGTATATTATTTGAGCTAAGAGAAAACTCACTAGGAATGGTATTTCTATAACGACTTCATTTCCCTGCTTGTGCTTTGGCTCTGTCTACAAAATTAGATCTCTGTCTACAAAATTGCTTTCACAGTTATGGGAATGACTTCAAGTTCACACTTTTTTTTTTTTTTAATAAACCCAAGATAATCAAGGGTGCAAATATGGAAGCTGATTTAAAAAGCAGTTCTTCTGAGTATAAGAGATTAATTTTCTACAAACTGTGGCAGACAGTGAAATTATACTGTTTTAGATAGTTTTGTTTGTGTTTGCTCAAAGACAGTTAAATAGTTTGGGAGTATTTGTAAGTGTAAGTCATTCATTTACGATTTTCTCTCTCCAGAGGGAAAAAGGAAAAAAAAGAAAAAGAAATAAATATTAACTTACTCCTCAAACCAAAACAATCCGACTGATTTACAGATAGAATTAACATTTTTTTCCTAAGGTTTGTGTGAGAACAGAAACTTATTTCCTCTTAATTCTGTAATTCCATAAAAGAAAATATTAAGTACAGGAAACTTATCACCACAAGGAATCAAAAAGTGCTTTATGGATATCTGCACCCTGATGTTTGTTGCAGCAGTACCAACGATAGCCAAATTACAGAAGCAGCCCAAGTGTCCCTTGACCAATGAATGAATAAAGAAGACGTGTATGTATATCCTCTGGGATATTACTCAGCCACAAAAAGAATGAAATCTTGCCATTTGTAACAACATGGCTGGAGCTAGAGTGTATGATGCTAAGTGAAATAAGTCAGTCACAGAAACACAAATACTGTATGACCTTACTCACATGTGGAATTTAAGAAACAAAACAAATGAACAAAGAAAACAAGAGACAGACAAAAACCAGACTCTTAAATATAGAAAACCAATGGTTACCAGAGAGGAGGTGGTGGTGTGTGTGTGGGTGAAATATGTGACAGAAATTAAAAATACACTGAGCCTGAGTAATGTACAGAACCTAAAACTAAAATAACACTGTATGTTAACCATACTGGAATTAAAATTTTAAAAAAGAAACACTGAGGGAAAAAAAAGTACAGACTATCTTTGGTCATCAACAAATTCAGCTGTGTCAAAATGATGACAAGGTCTCTTGAATCCCAGAACAATGTTTGTGACCTTTTATATGAAAAATACATAGATAGAACATGCAAGATTCAACTTTTGTTAAAAAAAAATTACATCTCTAAAATACAGAGAAACACACACACTTGTACCCACTAAACACACAAGGGGTTGTTCCAAGAGAGCACGAGGGGGTCTCTGACTCTTTAAGCTCTTGGAACCATTGATTGGTTATAAGCACATATCCCAGTTATGATTTTAAGAAATTGAAGGGGGGTGTTAGGCATTATGGTGCTACAAAAAAGAATGCTCTTATGCCCGTGAAAAAGGGACATCTTGGGGAGCCCAGGGGCTCAGTCAGTTAAGCTTCTGATTTTTTTTTAAAGTACAGTTCACACCTAGCGTGGGGCCTGGCGTGTACAGAGCCTGAGCTCACGACCTTGAGGTCAAGACCTGAGCTGAGATCAAGAGTCAGATGCTTAACTGACTGAGCCACCCAGGCATCCCAAGTGTGGAGCCCATGTGAAAAAAAAATTTAAAAAGGGATGCCCTTAAACATCCAATCTAGAAAAACTGAGAAGTCTCTGGATTGCGCACAAATGCATAATTCAATTTAGGCTTTGTTTTTAGCTTTTATACAGACTCTGAATGACTCAGAATTGAACATTTATTCTACTTCTTTTGTGTTTTCCCATTTGTACTGATTTCTTTATCCTGATAAAAGTCTTAGTTGGGGAGGCATAATAAATGAGGGGAAAAGGGGACAGCCAGAATAATGAAGATAAACATTTGGATGAAAAACAAGAGACCATTTGCGCAATTTTTGCTTGGCCATTTGTTCTGTACCTACATTTCCCTTTCTGGAAGTAGTAAAAACAGTGACAACAATGGCAGCCGGCATTCACTGAGCATCTACACCGTGGTTGCAGACTACTACAAATGCTCTACTCACAGCGACCCATTAAATGTTCACTTCGACCCCAGGAAGGAAACAAAGACATCTTGTCCTAGGGACACTGAAAGAACCTGAACCCAGGTCTGGCTTCAGAGCCCAAACCTAGCTTAAAAAAAAAAAAAAAAATTCAGTACCAGATTCCTGTAAGTGATCACTTATATGCTCTTTGGTGACGTCAAACTCCAATTCCACATAATTTCATTTGGGGGAGAAAATGTCTACGCTGTACATGCCTTTTGGCACAGAAACGTATTCTAGACTGGGTGTGAACAATATTCTGCATCGTTTGGACCCCGCAGTAAGCCCCAGGGCATCCTGACATACTTTCCCTCTTCATAGTGTTGAAAATCTGCACCATATCAAGCTTCTTCAGTTTTCGGTCCATAGAGCAAACACTAACGAAAGCAAACACCAAGTAACAAAAGTTTAATGCTTTGCCCTCATCTAACTCCTTCTGCGTTAGGACATTAGAATACAAATGTGATGCGATGACAGAAAAACTTTAAAATTGTGCTCTGAGAGGGAGCGGCCACCGTGACCACAGAAGTGCTATTAAAAATATTTATACTTCTGGGGTGCCTGGTTGGTTCAGTCAATTAAGCATCCGCCTTCTCAGGTCATGGTCTCAGAGTCCCGGGACTGAGCCCCGCATTGGGCTCCCTGCTCAGCGGGAAGCCTGCTTTTCCCTCTGCCCCTCACCCTACTCATGCTCTCAACTCTCTCCCTCTCTCAAATAAATAAATAAAATCTTTAAAAAAAATATTTCTACTTCTGTTCGAATGCTGCAGGTCTCCTCCATCTTACCTGATTAATTAAGTGTTCATTTGCAGGGTCAGATTTAAACAGGGATGTCTGCAATGTCATTGGGACTGGAAAGGGGCCAAAAAGCACTATCATACAGCCAGACAAAACCTTCCCCCTGTTCCTGACGCTCAGGGTGTCAGGCAGACGACCGCAAGGGTACAGCTAAATATTTTTGGCAGGAATGTGAAACGGAAACCCCAGTTTGGGGAGGAGGGAGGAAGCTGGCAGGAGAATGTTCTTAGAATGGATGTCCCACTGTACCAACTGTGTCTGGGGATATTTAAGAGTTTTATTTTGACTTCACATCTGACCTCAGAATTTTTAAAAAGAAGTGGAAACAGACCTATGATTACTTAAGCCTTTGCTTCAGTCCACATGTAATTTTTATCCTTTTTACTCTAAAATGACCCCTCTGTACACTTAACTAGACTGAACTCTAAAAGGCAGAAACCCCATCCATTCACAGTCATCGTCATGGTTGGTTTTTTCTTCTACAATAAACTATCTGTCCCACAGCACGCGGACTAAAAACTAATATGAATTCGGGTTTGGAAGTGGACATGTGGGAAGACAGAAAAAGAATCAATTTCAGTCTGTTTTAACCACTCCCCTTTTGACTGTAAAGGAAAACAAGGAATGTAAAAATGTGTCAATGGTTTACTCACGATTCAGTCCATACCGGACATTTTCACAACCAATTAAATTCAGTGTGCACTCATCAAATCACTGGAAGCGTTTACCTGAATTCATTTTACCTGCAGCACCTGGTCAGAGCGGAGCGCGTGTTTTGGTAGCTTCCCAAACCTCAACTACACTTTAGCTTGCCAACCTAAGAAGCCCCACAGGACACACTACTAGCGACACCACCAAGGACAACAAAGGGCTCTCCTGACATCTCACGGGATGGGTGCCCTTCGAATCCCCACTTTAAAAGTGAAGCGTAAAGAAGGGTGATGTTTCCTCTCCAGGTCATACTGGTTCGAGAGCAGGAGAGCGGGGAACAGAGCCCTGTCCGAGGAGGACACGAGGACCGCTAGAGACACGTGAAAGGGAAGGCATGTTAACGAGGCTTGCAGGGAAATATTATAGGTCATAAAATCTTCCAGGGTAATTTCTCAGTTAGTTTCAGTTTAAGGAAAAGTGGTGGTGAGCGGGAATTGCAGTGAGGAAAGGATGAGAAAGACAACACCTTAAGCACCTGTCACAATCGACCCTTCTCTGGAGAAGGTCCCTTCTCTGGCTCCAGAGGCCCTTATCAAAGAGGCCTTTCCGGACCGCCCCCCGCATCTCCAGTCGCCACCACCCCCGACCATCAACACTCACTTTCCTTGTAACTGGAGTTCTTTTCCACAGGGCACGAGTCACCCCCTGACATACAGTGTCCTCAACCGGAATGTAAGCACCGCGAGGACAGAAGCCTATACCCGTGCTTGGAAGACAGCAGCAACAGAATCGTTATTTGCTCAATTAATAAATGAATTCATGCAATCTCTCTGCCTCCATCAAGGTTTTAATTAAGAACACTTCATGCCCATTATTTTTACTGAGCACGTACTGGTCACTATGGTCACAAACACCGTGGGACCTGTGGCCGCTGTCCTGCGTAAAATGAGTAAATGCGTAACTAGAAGACATCGTAGCAAACCAGCAGCCCCGGAAGGCAGCCCCTAGGCCAGCCAGCCTGAGCCTGCTTTTCCGCTCCTAGCCACAGTCCTCCGCCCGAGCCCCGTGAAACCCTCAGACAACGGCAATCAGCAGAGCTCCTGGCGGGTTGTGATTCTTGGTGTTCATTCTACCACGACCATTCTGAGCCTTCCTCCGGGTTCCAAAAAATGATTCGAGCGGGTCACAAAATCCACAACCCCTTGAAGTACATCATCCCCACCCTTCCTCATCCCCAGGTTCCCCGGAACGCCACCTACCTGTGACTTGACCCAGACTCATTTTTGGCAGCTCCGAGTTCCTCAGCTCCTCCGTGCTGGCCGACTTCATGACGGAGTTGATGGAGGACAGCGTGCTGATGAGCTGCGAGTTCAGAGAGCCGATCTGTGAGTGCGGCTCCCCGAAAGCTTCCGCCAGTTCACTGTAGTTCTCAGCCAGCAACTTCTGCTGCTCCGCCAGCAACTTCTGGACGCGCTCGATGTAGTGATCCAAGCCGCTCATCGTTCCAGAAGGAGCCTGGGGCTGGGGGTCCTCTGCGGACTCTCCAACAGGCTCATCCCCAACACCTACACTCCTCCTGCTGGCTGCCAGCCCCAGCGTCAACTGGGGAGGACCACAAGCTATGGTCCTCATCTTGAGACCAACCAGGTAATTGTCCTGAATATTTATCTGCCCCACGCCTGACTCTTTGGTCTTCACAGCCGACGGCTTGTCGAACCCGGAGCTGCCGGAGAGCACCGTCCCCACTCCAACGGACCGCATCTTGGCGGAGGAGTTGACATCCTTAACACGGCCTTCTCCGATGGCCACGGTCCGCGTCTCCACGGTCTGAGTGCTGGTCTGCTTGTCCAAAGTGCTGAGGGAGGTGTTGGTGCAGGAGTCCACAAGGGTGGCCATCTCGGTGTTGGTGGACTGGTCCACCTGCTCCCAGACCGTACCGGTGTGCCGGCTTGTGGTCGCAGGCACCGCCATGACAGCGGCCTCCACCTGGGGCACAGCCTCCGTGCTCAAGCCCCGGGATGTGCACTCCTTCGGGGGACGGACGGTCACGTCAACGGAGCAATCTCCGCAGCCGATCGATCGCACCTCCTTGAGATGCAGGTTGGTCTTGAGGAGCGAGAGGTCGTTCACAGACTCCTCCGTGTTGCTGCCTGTTTCGCAGACGCTGATCTCCACACCCACGCTCTGGTCACTGGTCTCCACCGACCTCCCTGCACCTTGGTCCCGCGTCTCCACCCGTTCCTTGACGACCCACCGATGCATGGGCAGCTCCGGCCCCGCGGCTCTGGTCTCACAAGTGGGCTGGCAGGAGACCGCCACGCTGCACGTCTGCACGGAGGTCCCGACGCCCGCATCGGCCACGTCCACGTGCCGGCCAACCGTCTGGTCCCTCGTGGGCACCACGGCCTCCACCATCTTGCTGCACACACGCGGCTGGGCCGTCACCGCCTTGTCCACCTTCTTCCTCGAGCCGGCGGCCTGCAGCTCCTGCTTGAGTTTCGTCATCTCGCGGTCATGGGTGGTTTCTCTGAGCTGGACTTCCAGGCGGTAGATCTTCTCCTTCAGGGCCTCTATGGTCTGCTGCTGCAGCTCAATTTCTTTGTCGGCCTCCGTGGTCACCCCCAGCATGGCCTCTGTCACGCCGACCCCGCAGCTCCTCGTCTCCGCGACGGTCCCCACGGCGGCGTCCCGACAGGCCCCGGGGCCCCTGCGGTACACGACCACGTGGTCCATGCGCTCGTCAGCTCCCACGGCCACGGAGCGGCTCTCGCCGCCCTCCCGGGGCCCCGGGGACGCCTCGCCGCCGCTGTCCCGGATCTTCTGCTCCAGGGCGCGCATGTCCGCCGCGAGCTGCCGGAACTCCCGGATGCTGTGCGCGCTCTGCTCCACGCCCGCCATCTCCTCCTCGTCGTCTATGTACAGCTCCCCGCCGCCCCGCCGGGCCCGGGACAGCTCCTCCAGCTGCGACGCGTTCCCAGCACTGTAGGACCGCGGCCTCACGCCACCGCTGTCATTCTGCGCTGGAGCTCTCTGGTTTTTCAGCTGCGAGGCCAACTGCCGCTTCTCCTCTTGTAGGACCGAGATCTTGACCTGGAGCACAGGGATGGTTCGCACCTGCTCCTCGAGCTCCTTCAGGCGTTTCAGGGCGATGGCCATCTGCTCGCGGATGTGCTGCAGGTGCACGGGGCTCACGTTGGTCACGGGAGTGGAGATCCCTGAGCTCAGGGGGCTGTGGCGGACGGAGCTCCCCATGGATGATGTGGTGGCAGCAGCTGGGACATAGCCACCGTAGTCCCCGTTGCCTTGGTATCCGTTCTGAAGTGGGTGCACGGCGGGATTGTGGTTTCCAGAACCCATGAAGGAGGACAGTGAGCCCGTGGAGCCCAGGCCTCCAAAACTGGCCAGCCTGGGCCTGCGGAACTCACCAGGCGCCACCTGCATGGTGACTCTCTCCTGTTCCAGTCTTCTCCGGGTCTCCATCAGGGTCTTGGTGACATGAAGGTTGTGCTTTGGGAGCTGTGGTGAGGGTGGAGGCAGCTGCCAACTCTCCGGGACGGTCAGAAAAGTGGGCGAGGTCTCCAGAGGGGCAGAGGGCCTTGGGGTTGGTGTCGATGTCACTTGGCTTCTGGCGAGGAGGAAGTGGGGGCACTGCTTGTTGTCATCACTGTTGGAGGAGGAGAGGGATTCAGTGGAAGTCCACACACCCTGCTGGCCGGGCGCGGCGCTGCTGTCCGGGCATGGCACAGATGGCTTCCGCCTCTTCTGGATGTTCAGTTTCTTGATGGTGTTTCCTTTCTGTATGTCATCCACGTACTTGAGGAAATCTAAGTCTAGCTGATAACCGTAGGGGGTCTCCACAAAATAAGGATCTTTCTGTTCCTTGTCATGATTTCCATTCAGAACACCCTCTGCTTTCCCTAGGAGAGCGAGAAGAGAATATTATAATGCCATATAATATACTTGTTTATAAAAGCTACTATTGGGGGGTGCTTGGGTGCCTCAGTCATTAAGCGTCTGCCTTTGGCTCAGGTCATGATCCCGGGGTCTTGGGATTGAGTCCCGTATCAGGCTCCCTGCTCCGTGAGAAGCCTGCTTCTCCCTCTCCCACTCCCCCTCCTTGTGTTCCCTCTCTCGCTGTGTCTCTCTGTCAAATAAATAAATAAATAAAAGCTTTAATAAAACCAAACCACTAGTATTTGTGTATGGAGCAGTGTAGCAGACCACTATGACTTAGGAGTTGACAGACGTCTTTCTGTTCTAATCCTGGATCTACAACTTAACAGCTGGGTGAATAAGTTAATAAACCCCTTGGGACTTCAGTTCCTCCCTGAGTAAAAATGGAAATACAAGTATTTACCTCATAAGGTTGTTAGAAGAATGTAATGAGACAGTGGTTTTTAAAGAGCCAAGCATATATTAAGTCCTCACTAAACACTTTATTTTTGAAAAGAATGTATTGGAAAGACTTGAACGCATTTTGAGGGGGATCATCTCTTTTGTTGCCTACAATCTGCTGAAGTCTAGAGAGCAGTCCTTAAGATTCTTATTTTTATAAAGTGAACACTGAGGCACCAAAAGTGCTAAGTTGGAAGAATGGACGAAATCAGCACAGATCCAGGAAAACTGGGACAGGAGTCCTCACAGCAATCACTCTTAGGCAGGCTTTGCAGCCTTTCTGAAGGGTGGCCAAGGGCAGCCCTGGTGCCCGACCACCTCCAGAAGATCATAGTTTGCCTTGAGCCAGCCCTCGCTGAGAGAGCCAGGACCCAGGGGCCGATGGCTGACGCAGGAACACAGTCAGAGAACAGACTTCAACTCTGTTTTGTGTCTTCCCTTTTAAAACCACCACTGCCACCAAAACCTTGCCCCAGTTCCTCCTCTTTGACTTCTTTTGGACATACCATTCCATACTCCAGGAATACCTCATTTTGCATTTTAACATATCCAAACAGATGCAAAAGAGAATGAAAATAAAAGCAAACCTATACTCCACACACTGTATCCCTGGGGCATTCAGTAAGTGCTACTTCTGGCTAAACCAAACATTTAGAAAAGGAAACCAAGAACTTTTTCAAGGCACAGACCTTGCTAGTGACCTGAGCTGTGCATTTCAAGTTGAAAAGCAAGGCCATTTTTGTTTGTTTAAATTATAGGATTAAGTAATGTGTTTTCCTCAAAATCATCATAACAAGCTCTGCATTCTTTGAGCTATGGAAAGTACCCAAAAGCAATGGGTGAAAATGCAAGCCATTTGTACCCCTGCTCCTACCCTGGGTAAAAAAACCCACCCGACTGTCCTCAAGACCTTCCAGCACTGTGGGTTTCCTGCCTGCCCTTCCCAGTCCAAACCCTGCTGAGCATTTCCACCTGATAGTGTGAATTCTCTGAGTGAACCTTTCGCCTCCCACTTGCCCTCTTTCCTCTGAAAAGTTGGAAAGAAAAGTACAAAAAGACTGCCAGGCAACAGAGTTGTGTATTCTTTGTGCCCTGATTTAAAACAATATTAAACTGTTCTCGCTGTCCGCACCCCAGGCCCTCGATTTCATTTCTAAAACATTGGAAAGAGAATTCTACTGGAACCAGGTGCTCAGCCTTAATCACTTTCTCACCTAAGTAAGGGGGAGCTGATGCTGAGCCGGCACCTGGAAACTTGGGCTCATGCTACCAGAACGAGTCTCTCCTTCCCTCTTTCTTGCCTTTTTAAACTCCGCACGGACAACGCGCTCACTCCAAATATGCAGCCCGACCTGTTTCCAGGGCTGTCTGAATTCCACAAGCAAAGAGAAGCTGCGGGCTCGGGTGTCAAGCGAAAGCAGGCGGATCTGACGGACAGGAGCCAGGAGCCGGCAGCCGGCGATTCTAAAATTGGGCTGTGGCTCCTCCAGGCCACAGGGTGCTCAGCCCAGGGACCAGCCCCTTCCCCGCCCCACGCTGCGCTCCGCTGGCAGGCGGCCACCCACCCCCTCGCCAGCGCCTGCTGCGCTCCACCCCCCGCCGGGCACCTCCGGGGGAGGGGGGCGCCCGCTGCGCTGTGCTCCCCACCGGCCGGGTCGCAGCCGGCCGCACACCCACCGGCGCCCGAATACCCCCCTCCGCGGGGGCGCCCGCTGCGCTCCGCTCCCCACCGGCCTGATGGCCGCCGGCAGCTCAGCCCTCCTCCCGGGCGCCCACCGATCCCGTCGGTAGCTCATCCCCATCCCGGGCGCCCGCAGGGCTCCGCTCCCCGCGGCCCAGACCTCCCGCCGGCAGCCCGGCGCCTGCCCCACCGGCCGGCCCGCTCCCAGCTCGGTGCCCGCCGCAGCGCCCCCCGCCCCGCCGCCCGCTCACCCGCCGGCTCGCACTGGGCCCGGCCCTGCCTCGGACGCCCTCCGTCGGTCTTCACCCCATAAGGAAAGGAGGTTCAACGTTCGTGCACACTTCGCCGGGCCACGCGCGAACACCATAGGCCCAGGTCTCACCAATGAAGTCTCCCTGCGGCTCCGGGGACACCACCCCCGGCCCACTCAGCGGCTCGGCGTTCCCCGCTCTCTTAATGGAAACAGGAAGCCGGGATCTGGCGAAAACCTGTGCTCTTCGGGCCGGTGGCGGCCAGGCGCACACATGCAGCCGGCGGCTTGAACACCTCCACACAGAGGCTCTGTGTCCGCGGTACCCGTCACTTCCAAAGCAGAGTGTGTGTGCTCCCGCCCTCGGTCACCTGAGGAAGTTCAGGCACAATAGGGCCACTGTCCCCAGCAGGTTCTCCAAGGGCCCCGCAGTCCCCGCTGGTCCGGGGGCGCTGCGGGAACGCTTCCAGGCCCTTGGCTCCTCACCAGCCACAAGCAGTTACGCGGTAAGTCTTAATCCCAACCAAGCCTTTGCCCTTGCTACGAAGTTCTTTGAAACACCACACCTTTTCCCGGCTACTAAAGTATTCCATACTTATGTTAATTAAGAAAAAAAAAATCACCTCCAGGCCACTTAACGAATGAAAAAAGTCACTCAGCTCTCACCCCTTAGGAGAAATATCAATATTTTGGTATAACCCCAAGATTTTCCTGTGTATTTCTTAACATAGTTATTTTACCCATTTTCAGTAGAAAAGGTTAATTTTTGTTTTATCTATTTCTCTTCAAAATGCTTTTTTTTTTTTTTTAATGCACAACCTGAGGTCAGGATTTAGAACACAACAAAGCACATCACATTTTTCAGTGAAACTTAACTGGCCGCCGGCCCATCTTTAGTTTAATTTGTGAAGTTCACAAAAGGCATAGGTCATGCTGAATTATCCCCCAAACGAACTCTGGACTTCTACATCTGGGACTCAGGAAAGGTTAGAATTTAACCATGTTGGGCTTGACGATTTCCTAATACTACTTAAATCAGACTATCCTAAGGAGACAGGATCCGAATTCTATCCCCAGCACCTAAAAAAAGCAACCTGGGTTTCTCAAGGTGTCATTTCTGCAATCAACTGTCCACTGTATGTTCTACAATTAAGTGAAGACACCCAGTGTCATTTTTACCTCCTGCTTTCTGGGGTACCTTCATGTACAGTAACACAAATAAGGCATTTTATGAGGCTCTGATGGATTTCCCAACTTCTCCACTTGTGTAGGTCTTCTCTCTGTGCTTGATTAAGGATGTTAAGAGCAACAAAATTAATTTTTAATATTTCCTTCACAGCTCTCCCTTTCCAATCATACACATCACTTAATAAGATGTGGGGGGAACTATGTAGATGTTTAAGCATGTTTCCTGAAGGAATAACTGAATATACAGTAGTATATAATGAATTTTTAAGAACATCTTAATATTCTGTAGGCAGAAGTTGCTTGTTCTGTATTGTCTGTAAAAGACAACTTTTACATGAAGCTGTTTCAGTGGTTATCTTCAGGTTGTGGAATCATGGATGGTTTTTATGTTGTTTCTTATATTTTATACATTTTTACAACACATGGTTATCTTTTAAAAAATATTTATAAGATTATAAGAAGTTACCGGAAAGTAAGGGAAAATGTATTGAAATAAACTCCAAGAAAGTTTGTTCAGGAGGGAGATGTATGGGGCAGCCATGGAAAAGACACCCCGATGTTCCTCTGTATGTATGATCCCATCTTGGAAACTAACAGGACTCCTGGTTTAGTTGGGCACATAAAAAGACTATATTTCCCTGGCCTCTTTTACTGTTAGTATGCCATAGGCAGAAACATCATAAAGCAACCCCCCAGAACCTCCCGTCCGAAGACACAGGAATAGTTCTCTGGCCTCCTTTCTTCTTTGTCACGTCCTCCATCCTGCTGCCTGGAATGCAGATGTGACGACTAGAACACTAGCTCCCTCACTGGACTGTGAGTTCACACATAGGGATGGAAGGACAATGTGCTAGAAAAATCCTGGATCTCTAAGAGCTCTGCAGATCAGAGCTACTATACTACACCTGGGAAGCCACCTCTATAGATCTATGTGAAAGCAAGAGAAACAAACTATTCTGTGTGTTGTGTCTCTGTTACTTGGATCTACACTGAATTCTAATGGATACGGCAATCTCTCCTCCGCGTCTCCCCTCCCCCACAAAAAATTAAGACCAGATCTTGAAAAGAAGAATAACATTAAATGATTAACTGGGGAGATGTTACAATAAAATTTTTTTATTACAGAAATTTTTATTAATTCAAGAATAATCAGGAAAGAATAAAAACAACACTTCTTAAAAAAAACTCTAAGTGGGTTATAAAGAGACTCTTAACTGCCTGAAACCTTTTTTTTTTTTTGGACTAACAGGGTTATGCCTGTTTATATATAGCCAAGAACCACTGGCTTTGTCTGCAAATGGAATCCTGAAAGTAACAGCTTCCAACAAAATATTCTGGAATCACAGGGCTGTCCCCTGGGGTTTACAAGAATTTTCTGAATGTCTGGAAATCCAGTGGTGGAG